CCCTTTTCTACCAAGAGGAAAGAGATAACACATCTTTCCATTATATTTTTCCTTTAAAATACGATAGGCATTGTGTAAGCAGGGGTACCCAACCCACAATACATCTAGGGAATATGTTGGGGAGCCCTTATTTTTATTTTTTTTTTAAATCAAGTCATCCCTTCTTCCTCTTTGTCTTCTCCTTCACAAAATGGCCTAATATTCCTATAATCTCAGCCCTCTGGTTGATAAACTGGAATGGATTTTGTAGATTAAGTTTGAGTTAATACTAAGGAGCAGCTGCACTTTTCTTTTTTGAACCTAAAACATACCTTCTTTAATCCCCCGGGTACATGTATACCCCAGGTTGGAGATCCCTGATTTATATAATGACACTGCTCATCTTGACAGAATGCTAGGTTTAATAACAGAAAAATCCCCTCTCTTATTCTAAAGTAAATAATTGAAAAGAAAAGAATAGCGTATTTGAGGAAAATGCTAAAAAGAAAAAGGGACATGCTAATATCTTTTTTTCTTCCTATTTTGTTTTGAGATACGATGCTCTTTGAAGACTTTTTGTTATGTTTGGACCAAATGCAGACACATTTCTTTCCAAACTGCTTTAGATTAAATGGCCTAGTCTCTTGACAACCTTAACAATTGGGGTCAGCACTAATTAGCTTTTGCTAAAAAGCAAAGTCCTCAGATTCTGAAAATGCTTTCCAGACCAAGGGTGAAGGATTTAGAGAACACCAAGGGACACTAAACTGACCTTGGAAGATTATGTTACCTTGATTTTTTTTTTACCAGACCTATATTTCATAGGTATAAGGATCTCCAGATGAAAAACTTCTTCTACCAATATACATCAGCACCTTCTCTACAACTTACAGTCTTAGAGTTGCTTAGGGGTACTGAGAAAAGTCAATGATTTGCCCATGGACATAATAACCAGTAAAAGTCAGAAGTGAGACTTAAACCCTGGTGTTTAAATTCAGAGGTCAGCTTTCTATACACTATGCCACCTCACCTCTCATTTAAAAATGAAGGAAATCAGGTTTCTTAAAAGTGATTGATGTGGCTTCAGTAGATGAGGAAAAAAATATTTTTGTCCCAAAGTAGTAGAATAGATACAGCCCTGGACCTGAGTCAAGACCTAAGTTCAAATGTAGCCTCAAACACTTACTAGCTGTGTGGCTCTGGGCAAATCTGTTTGCCTCAGCTTACTCAACTGTAAAATGGCAATAACAGCACCTCCCTCGAACTGTCGTGAGGATTAAATATATTTTCAAAGTCCTTAGCACAGTGCATGGCACATCATAGGTGGTATACAAATGCTTATTCCTTTCCCCTCTTCCCCCAAACGCCAAAGCCCTGTTCAGGCTGAATGCCTTTGGATCTCGGGTTGGATAGGTGATACTTTTTTGCCAGTAGATCATCATGATATAAAATTTTGATTCTTTTTTCAACAGAGCTTTGGAGAGTAAAGAGAGAAATTCTTCTAGAATTCATAGGAAATGTAGGCAGAGAAAAGAAAAAGATGCTATGGTTAGAATCTGACCAGTCTACTTTCTACCTGCAGAGGGCAGTCAAAAGACAGAAATGATGCTGCATTTACCGTTTGCTCTACAGAAACGAGGGAAACAGCAGCTGTTTCCCACTTCCTTTAATAAAAAACAATTTTCTTCCTTAAAGCTGATTCCAAATTAGGAATGTTTTGAGTTAAGCATGAAGATTATAGTCCCCCCACACACACCTTAAAACTTTCAAAAATATCAAGGAAAGTGGATACCCCATGAGGCAGAGAGTAAACCATAACCTAAAAGGGAAATTTAATAAAAGCCTAGCACAGTGCAGACACTTAATGTTTATTGAATTTAACTAAATGACACTATCACCGAGTGGTGTGGTTAGTTTAAGAGCTAAGCCACATACCTCACAAATTTTTAGTGCTAATTTAATTAAAGAAAAGTCACTCTTCTTTTGGGCCTTGTTACTTCATCTCTAAAATGAGGTGATTGAATTACACGATCCTTTGTATATCTGCCATTTTTTGAGTCTGTAAGAAGTATTTTTAACCCATTTTCTCATTTTAAAATCACAATAGCCAAAGAGATCTTTATCACATTCAGAAAAAAATACAAGACTTTATCAACTGAGGAAAAGTTGGCTTCATTATTTACACAGAGCTGACAGGTTTGATCACCCTAGTGCATTTCTAAGTAGAATCCTGTTTATGCCCAAGAACATAAGATAACCAGCTAAAATACTTTTGTTTTGTTTTGGTTTTTTGCTCAATATGAAGCAACAGCATGACATGGCAGCCAAGAAAGCTAATGCAATCTCAGGATGCATTAAGACAAAGCAATCAGAACTACAATAGTTCTGTGTTGGAGAGGCAAAGGTAGAAAAGACTTCTGGAGTTCGTTTGGGAATTCTGGTGGGGAAAAGAATGAGATGCTATGCCATGATCACCATGCCATGATCAGACCACACTTGGCGTATCATGTTCAGTTCTGAGCACCACATTTTAGGAAAGGCATTGATAACCTGGAAAATGGCTAGACAAGGGTAACCAGGATGATGATGTGTCTAGAGTTCATATCGTGTTAAAAGAACCAGGGATATTCAGCTTGCCGAAGAGGAGTTGTTAATGCCTGAATGTCAATATGGCAGGAAGTCTCTAGTGGACGTAAGCTTGCCCTGTGCTGTTTAACATTTTTATCAATCACTTGGATAAAAGCATAGGCAGTAAACAGATGACACAAAGATTAAAGGGATAGCTAACAGGAGATAACAGAATTGATCCAAACGGATCTTGACAGGCTAAACCATTGAGGTGAATTAATAATATATTAATTTCAATAGAGATAAATTTAAAGTCTTAAACATAGATACAAAAAATCAACTTCACAGGTATAAGATGAGAGAGTCATATATAGATAGCAGTTATTCTGAAAAAGATTTGGGGGCTTTAGTGGACTGCAAGCTCAATATGAATGAGTAGTGTGATGTAGATGCCAAAAAAGCTAATCTTACAATGTACTGAGGGCACATAGATCCCAGGAATAAGGGGGTGACAATCTTCTGAACTGTGCTATATACTTCTCATCTGAAGTATTGTGGTCATTTCTAGGAAACAGTTTAAGAAAGGCATCGTACAGGTTGGAGAGTTTGCAGAAGACGGCAGCCAGGATGGTGAAGGGCCTTGAGTCTGTCATATGAAAATTGGTTGAAGGAATTGAGCATGTTTAGCCTGAAGACAAGATGATTTGTTTGTAGGGCTGTCATGTAGAGAAGGAATCTGATTTGTTCCATTTGGCTTCGGAGGGCCAAACCTGGAACGGTGGGAGAAGTTGCAGAGGGGCAAATTTAGGCTTAATGTTAGGAAAAATTTCACTATTATAGCTGTCCCAAAGTGAAATGGCCTGCCTAGAAAAGGTGTGGATTCCCTTCCCTTGGCAATCTTCAAGTAGATGCTAGAAGATCATTTTTTGGTATGTCAAATTGGGGAGTCCTTTTGTATATGGGCTAGATTAGATATTCTCTGAGGTCCCTTTCTACTTTCAAATTCTGTGTTTCTGTGACTTAAAGGAGATATGGGATGTTGTCAAGGACGCATGAAGTGCTGTAATTTGAAAGATAATTGACTTCTTGGCCCAGGTGGGTAGATTTAGAAGCAGTAGAGTGAAAGTGAAAAGACAAACTGTTATGCTGGATATATAAAGAAACTTCCTAACAATCAGTTTTATCCAAAGGTAGAAAGTGCTTTTCACTGGGGAGGTGGTGTGATCCCCTTCATTTGACATCTTCAAGAAAATACCAGATGCAGTATTGGAAGGAGCATGGAAAGTCAAACAAATATATTGTTAATGGAACTATTAATTGGTTCAATCATTCTGGATAGCAGTTTGTAATTATGCTATTGTGTTTTGTTGTTGTTGTTTTGGTGAGGACATTGGGGTTGTAATTATGCTATTAAAAAAAACTGGCTCAAAAGTACATATCCTTTTATTCAGAGAGGATTCTTATTCAGGTATGGGTTAGCCTAGACCTGTGGCCTATGAGGTCCTTTCCATCTCTGAGATTCTATAGTTGTGCCTGTTAGTGCTACATGTTACTTTATAAGCAGGCTGACATTTCACAATATGCCACTCATGAAATTGATGGTAATAGTCCCATGTCAGAAAGAGAGGAACCCAAAGAAGAAAATTAATGTTACTGTCACATACTAATGACCTGAGACTAACAACTTCCCTGATCCTAAAGTTCTCCTTTATAAAGTGGGCATTAGGGGCAGCTAGGTGGCGCAGTGGATAGAGCACTGGCCCTGAAATCAGGAGGACCTGAGTTCAAATCTGGCCTCAGACCAAACACTTGATACTTACTAGCTGTGTGACCCTGGGCAAGTCACTTAACCCCAATTGCCTTAAAAAAAAATAAAGTGGGCATAATCTTTGCACTATATACCCCATGGGGCTATTATGAAAACTAAATGAGATTATATACATACAATAGTAATGCAAAGGGAATATAAGTTGTTAACTAGATCAAATGCAGCAGTGTTACTGCATTAGTAATGTGAATACTTTGTTCTAGTAATACATTTTATACTTTTTACAACACTTTTATATCCAGTACTATACAATACCAACCCTATGTAGAAGAGTATTATACCCATTTTAGAGATGGGGAAAACAAGGCCCAGAGAGGTAGAGTGATTTTTCCAAGTTACACCACTAGTTAGTGACAGAATCAGGTCTCTGATTCCCAGTCAACTGTGCTTTCTCTCGCTCTATGTGGTTAACTAACACTGGTACTGAGAGTTTGCATTATAGTAGCAGAGAAATAAGCATAGAAAAGAGGCAAAAACGCTGGGATCTTTTAAAGATCTTATTTCATAGTTTGCATTCTTTCCAAAAAATAAGGAAGATGACAGCTGCTGTTCTCTACTTCAAAGGAATGTCCTGAGAATTATCCCTGGAATCCTGTTGGGTTCATTAGAAGAAAAAGACTATAGAATACAAGATTGTTCCTTTATTGACTGACAGCTTTTACTGAAGTCTAGATTTGGGGGTGAAGGAGGGTTGAAGAAGGTAGTAGACATTTTATTATGTGCAAATGTTATTAGACTTAATTGCTTAAGAAGAGTTTTCAGTTAGAATTGAAAGGGGCTGAACACAAACAAGGCATTTACTTTTTATTATAATTCCTATAACAGTGAATTAACTAGTCTTTTAAGACTATCTAAATGAGGCTTTAACTTTACCTGTGAGGTAGGGAACCACTTTGAAAAAAAGCTAAATCTTCAGTCATTATAAAGGCAGTGGAAAGAGCATGCTGTTTTTCACCAGGCCTTCAGTCTTGAAATAAACTAGCAGTGGACTGAACTCCTTCCAGTCAATACAACCATCATTACCAGGCTGCAGTCGTCACTCTCCACAACTCAGAGCCACAAAAAGCATCCTGAGAAACAGAAATCCCTTTAGCCTCAGTGGGCTTTTCTGTACCCTGCTACTATGCAAAACAGGGTATGCATACGAAAGGATATTTATAGAGCGTTATTTCAGAGTCCTGATGTCTGTGATCTAAAGGGACTGCCCTTAAGTTTTCTCAAGGCATTTGAACTACAACCTACCTTTATCTGTAAACATAAATCCTAAAGAAGTATGAAATGGAATCAGTTGTATAAGAGTACCAAACATCAACATGAGCTTCAACCAGGTATGGGAAAGAGAGGGAGGCTCAGAAATCTCCACAGAGAAATCTACAACTCCCATTTCCCTCTCTGCTCTGAGTTACACTCTGTGGAAGTTCATCAAATAAAGGAAGCCCAGACTATAGTAACTTCTTTTCCACTCACTAATTTGGTGGCTGTGACAGTGACAGAATTAAAGTACAAATTCCAGTATGCACTATATCCCAGAAGCATATCTACTATAAAGAGCTAAGAGTTAGTGCTTTCTTATTACACTTGATATAATTTCTCTGATAGACTAGAGGGACAAGTAGAAATGTTCTGTATATGTTATTAATACCACTATAGACACAAAAGTCATTTTTCTCTGCCAGATGTCAGGAAGAATAATTATATCAACACAGAATGAAATCCCAAGACCACTTCTGTCTTCCATTTCTTTGTCTTAGTTGTATGAAAGGTAATTGATTAGCCTTGGAGGAATATTCAACTTGGCAATTTTCTCAAGCCCTCTGACACCAGTTGCCTTCCTTAAGCTCACTCTGCAAAGTTGTGACAAGGTCAGAGGTGTCTCTGGAAAAAAGTAGAAGACAAGGACATATATGAGTAAAGTTTAAGAAGCAACAAACATTGAGGTGACTGGACCTCTAAAGATCATAGATATCAAAATTCTAAAGCTTTACACTTGTGTCTTTCAAAACTCAATTAGAAGCAAAAAGCTCTCAATTCATTCAGCAAATAGTTATTGAACACTTACTATTTTCTGTGGGAAGTACAAAGATAAACAAGTACCCTCACCGGCTTGTAAATAAATAACAGGGAGTCAAGGAAAAAAGAACAGGAACTGGGATTTTACCCTGGGATTCATGGTATTCTAACTGACCTATCAGATAAGGCAGGATTAGTCTATGAATAATTAACTCATTTCCTAGGGCAGTGATCTCCAAAGTGGGGATTCACCAAGCAACCACACAATCTGGGGAAAAAGATGGCTTTCACCTTTTGTGACCCAAAACTCCACAACTCTGTTCTCTCCCCACTCTATGAAAGCTCCAACCTCTCAATTTCTGCACCAGGTGTCAGCCCTTCTGGGGGGTTATAAACTAATCGTGCCTAAGGCACCCCCAACAGTCACTATTTGAAAAATTCCCTTCCTCCCCCAGAAAACCCACACCTGAGAGAGGAGGGGAAGGGAAGAGATAGGAATGGGGGTCTCCCACCCCCAGAATACTTCCTGACTAAAGAGGCACCCCTCTGGTGGCTGTGAGATAGTCTGAGTAAAAGCTTTGCACCACTACTTCCTTTTTGGGAAGACTGTGTGAATTGCTCAGAATGAACAGGCATACATGGGTTGCAATTTGCATTAAAGATCTCAATTCTCTTTCCCAAAAGACCCTTTCTCTTTCAAACTTCCCTATTTCTGCTAAGGGCACTACCCAGTCACCTAGGTCCACAAGCTCAGTGCCATCCTAAACTTCTCAATGTACCACATCTATAGTTACCTACCTCTGCAAAGGAAGGAGGTGAATTCTCATGTCTATATGCTTTGGGAAGTATAAAGATGGACATGTGCCCCCACCAGACTTGTAAATAAATGGCAGGGAGTCAAGGAAGAAAGACCAGGAATAATTCATTGGATCTAGAGTCAGGAAGACCTGAGTTCAAATTTGACTTTATTTACTAGCAGTGTGACCCTGGGCAAATCACTTAATCTCAGTCTGCCTCAGTTTCGTAAAATGAAGATTGTTTTGCACCTAATTTTCAGGGTTGTGAGGATAAAATGAGATAATATATGTAAATCTCTTTGCAAACCTTAAAGTGCTACATAAATGCTAGGTAGTAGAGCTGCAGCAGCAGCAGTAGTATCTCTTCCAGGGCAGTTTGGTCATTATAATTACATAGCATTTAGTTTCTATTATTGCTCTTTTAATTTATGTTGCTATGGTCATTATGAATACTGTTTTTCTAGTTCTGCTTACTTTACTTTGCATTAGTTCATTTAAGTCTTCCCATGTTTCTGAATTCTTCATATTCATCATTTCTTATAGGGAAGTAATATTAAATTTAAATATTTTGGTATATATAGGACCCATCTTTTTATCTTTGACCTCCTTGAGATATACCTCCTGCCCAGCTATAGGATGTCTGAATCAAAAGTTATGGGTATTTTAGTCACTGTCTTAGCATCCACCAGCAAACTACTGCCATATTTTATTATCTTTCTCAGATTGTTGGGTATGGAGTGAAACTTCAGAGTTGTTTTGAATTGCATTTTTTATTATTAGTAATTTGCAGCAGTGTTTCATATGGTTGTTAATAGTATACAGTTCTTTTGAGAACTGTTTGTTCAAACCCTTTGACTATCCAGTGGGAAATGGCTTCTGGTGTTGTATACTTGTTTTAGTTTCCTAAATAGTTTGATATCAAACAAAGATGATGTTTTACAACGAGTAGAAAAATAACTATTTTTTTTTTTAGGCAATTGGGGTTAAGTGACTTGCCCAGAGTCACACAAGTGTCAAGTGTTTAGTCTGAGGTCACATTTGAACTCGGTTCCTCCTGACTTCAGGGCCAGTGCTCTATCCACTGCGCCACCTAGCTGCCCCCTCAATAACTACTTTTTGAAAGAAATTCTTCCTATGGAAAGTGCACTTTGAAAATGAATGTTTGTGTACATGCCATGTACTGCTGAGAAAAAAGTATATTCCTTTCTATCCCCATTCAATTTTCTCCAGAGGTCTATCATACCTAACTTTTCTAATATTCTATTCACCTCCTTAACTTCTTTCTTGTTTATTTTGTGGTTAGATTTATCTAGTTCAGAGAAGGGGAGAGAAAATGGATGTTTAGAAATGTTTTCCATCACCAAATGATTTTTATTGCTGAAAGCTATGCATGTCACCTATTAAAACTCTAATATTTGCATATTTTAAAAATCTGGGAACAATTTTCTAACTTGTTTAAAAATATTTCAAATAGTTTTTAATTCATTTGTTAAAAATATATAAGTGCAACACTTTCAGATTAGTTTGCAAGAATCACTGACATTAGGGGTAATAGAAATTTACTAGATGAATTGATAGGGCTAAAATGATGGGGCTAAAAATGAGTATTAAGATTTAGTAAAGGGGCAGCTAGGTGGCACAGTGGATAGAGCTCTGGCCTTGGAGTCAGGAGGACCTGAGTTCAAATGTGGCCTCAGACACACTTACTAGTTATGTGACTCTGGGCAAGTCACTTAACCCCAATTGCCTCACCAAAAAAAAATTAAAATTAAAATTAAAAAAAAAAGATTTAGTAAGTACAACCACCATATTTGGAATGATGTATCTTTGGGAAAGATCCTTTTCAGGAATGACAGCAAATTAAAACCCAAGTATCAAAATAAACTGAACTTAAAACCATGCACATGTATATAATGTTTAAATAAAAAAGGATAGATATATTGGGGTAGTACACAAAATTTTTTCTTTACTGATGAGGTAGACAATAAAAAACATTGGAGACTATTGTGCTAGAGTATAGGGCTAATGAGACTAAAGTTAAAAGATTAATCTCTTAGAGGACAGTTAGCTACACTGTGTTTAAGGTCAGCCTGAACCTTTTGACCTTGGACAATCATCTTGAAAAGGCAGACTATGGATGACACTTCAGAGTATGTCAACACAGACCCCATGACCACAGCTTGAAAACTATGTGCATATTATAGTCTTCTTGTGCATATATGGATTAACAGGTTAGAATCAAAGTTTCTTGCAAACAGGAATTGTTTCATTTATAATTTTTGTATCCTCAATGTATCCTATTATGTGCACAGCACCTGGAACATAACAGGAGCTAAATACTTGTTAATTGATCAATTGTATAAAAAACGGAGTAGTATGACTTGTGAATGAATATTTAACTGTGGCTACTTAGATAATTATTAAATGAAAGATTAGAAATTCTTGATGAGTAAATAGATCCAGGTCCTGGTTAGCAAAACATATGGTAATATTCCCCCCAAAGAACTGAAAGCTGAGCTTACTTTCATAGTACTCAAAGCATTTAGCAGAGGCACTACTGCTCCAAGTATAATCAGAAGGCTTCTTTCCTCGATTGTCCCGGGCATAGATGTTGCCTCCAAACTGAACTAGCATTTCAATCAGGTCTACATTCTTTACTTTGGCTGCATGGTGAAGAGCTGTCTCGTGCAATTTTGCTGCATTCACATTGGCTCCTGGAAATACAAGGAGAAAGAAAAGATAGGTACCAGAGGCACTATCACAGAGTTAAGAGAGAACAATATAATATGTATATCCTTCTAAAATGTCTATACCCTTTGACCCAGAGATTGCACTGCTAGGCATATACCCCAAGGATATAATTGGCAAAAAGAAAGGCACATCTATGCCAAAATATTTATAGCAGCATTTTTCTGTAATAGCAAAGAACCTGGCCTGTATATTGGGGAATAACAAAACAAACTGTACTATAATGAATGTAATGGAATATATTATTGTTCTGTAAGAAAAGACAAATGTGATGAATCTTGAGAAGCATGAAAAGACTTCCATGAACTGATGCAAAGTAAAGCAAGCAGAATCAGGAAAACAATGTGCACAGTGACAACAGTGTAAATGGAAAGAACAACAAAACAGTCAAAAGTGAAATCTGCACAACTATAAAGAACAAGTTTAGCACCAAAGACAAGAAGACATCTCCCAGATCCACATGTGAGGAGCACTGAACAAAATACAATTTTTTCCTCTCAATATATTGATTAGTTTTGCTAAATTTTTTTCTTCTCTTCCTCTTTTTATTTTTTGAAAAAGTCTTTGTCATATGACTCCCCCTCCTATGAACAGGAAGGGGAGAGATAAAGGAAAAAATCTAGGCAATGTAAAAACAAAAGATTTCAAAAAAATCTGATCTCACTGTCAATAAAAAGCTGATCTCTTTTGAGTGGCTGAAAATAGGATTGAAAAAGCATTGTAGTATTCTGGGATTTCATTAAATCAACACAATGTCACTTGCAAATCTAAAGACCTTGAAGACTTCCCCATCTATAAGGAATTCATTTTCCATTTGGATTCTCTAAAGGAAATTCTCCACAACAATGGTAAGTACCTTTGATAAACATTTTCTCTATGAATTCCCTTTACAATATCTGCAACAGGTGGTCATTCATAATTTTTTTTGCTTAAATACCTTGAGGAATGAGGAATTTATAACCTACTAAAGCAGTTAATTCCATTTTAGGATAGCTCTTATCATTAATTAGGAAGATTTTTCTCAGTGAAATGAAATCTGCTTTTCTGAAACTTCTACCCATTGGTCCTAGCTTTGCCTTTCTGAATCAAGCAGGAGCCAAGCTGCATATGATCATGCAGATGTTAAAGGGATAAACCTTGGTTACTACTACCTGGTTACTCTTTTATGTGAAGTCATATCTGTTGATTTTCTAATTTCAAGACACCTAGAATCTTAACCTATGGGGAGTGAGGTGAATAAATTAATGGGAGAAAATTGAAAGAAAAGTTCACTGAAATTACGCTAAAAGGGTAGGAGGGACATTTTCTTAATTAGCCTCTGTTCAACTCCTTCCAAAAACTCAAAACACAATTAAGTATTTATATACTTTGTCAGGCCATGAAAAACCACATAACCAGTAAAAATTCAACTCTTATCTCTCCCTGCCCCTTTCCTTTGAAAAGAAAGGGCAGTTGAGAACAGTTACCAAGTACAATTTATGTATCAGTTTGGCTCTCAGTCACTAGCACCAAAACACCTCTTTGACTTAAGACCTTCAATTTTGTTTGTAGAGAGGGAGACAACTTCAGTGTGTACTATATTATAATACATGTTGTGGTTCATTCTAAATAGGTTCCATTAGTTAGTGAGAAATAGCTCCATCCTATATTCAGGTTATAAAACAGCAAATAAGAATTTTATTTATTCTAGTTAGGTCTACTGATGGTGATCAATATTATTTTCCCAAATTTTATTTTTTTTCTGAACTTAACAAATACCAAATAAAAACAGACATTTCCATATACAAAACAGGACTGAAAAAGAGGATTATAAATTAAACTGTGAATAGCTTTAATAAAGAGCTTACTTTTAGTTTTAAGTGTATATTAAATTCAACATGTAACTTTCAAAACTATCCTGCATGTCTGTGTTTCGTTCTGGCCTTCCTTTTGTAGTCTTTGCATTTTTAAAAAATGCTTCAGTAAACCCCTTTTCTTTCTTCCTTTTTTTTTTTTAGTGGCAATTGTATCACTATCTTCCCTTCCCCCACCTCCCTCTATTTCATTAGAGGTCCATTTTTTTCCATTTTTATACTCAGTTTTGCTACATAGGCAATTCTTAAAAGTCTTTCTTTCTCTTTTGTCATTTATAATAGCATATTCCAATACCATTACATTTGGAATAGTATATTCCAAACTCTCCTCTTCTTTAAAATGGCACCTGCCAAGTTTTATGTGATCCTTACTGGCTCACTGATACTTTAACTCTTTATATTTGGCTGCTTGTGGTATTTTTTCCTTTGATCTGGAAGCTCTGGATTTGGGCTATGATGTTACTGGGAGTTTTCAGTAGCGGATTCTTCTTATTTTCATTTTTCCCTTTAGTTCTAATAGATCTAGGCATCTTTCATTTATTATTTCTTATATTAGGATATCAAGGCTTTTCCCCCCATGATTTTCAGGTAGTCTGATGTTTCTTAGATTGACCTTCTTTAATCTGTTTCCCAAATCAGTTATGTTTGACAGTATTTGTCTTCTATTTTCTTCTGTTTTATATTTTGTTTTTTGTTTTAATATTTCTTATTGTGTCATGGAGTCACTGATTTCTCTTTGGCTCATTCTAATTTTCTGGGGGTCAAATTCCTGGGGGAGGTTTACCACCTTCTGTCGTAAACCATTAAATCTCCTTGTCATTCTTTTCTCTCTAGGTTTTGTTTCTTTTAACATTCTACTTTGTATCTCTTGCTTCATTTCCTCCAGGTACTCTTGTAGTCCTTGTGGCCAGAACATTCTTTTCTCTGAGGCTCCATTTGGAGTTACTGTGAAGTTAATTCTTTTTCAGGGTATGTTTCTTGAGCTTCTCTAAATCCCTAACATTTCTTTATTTTGTTTGGTGTCTTAGTCTGTTTACTCATATTTCCAGATTTAGTTTCTGGGTTGGGGTTTTGTCCTTTGGTGTGCTCTGGTGGTAAGTTGTACAGGTGTTCAGGAAAGATTCAGGGCTGCTTTCTACCCTTGGTGTCCACCTGCCACCCAACTCTCACCTGTGGCTCCAAGAAGCTGTAGCATGTACAGTGGCCACACCCTGTTAAACTGTTTCAACAGATAGGTTAAACCAGGTTGAGGGGTCTCAAACCTGCCAGTGAGTTGGGGGGGTGTCTGCCTCAAGCAAGCATGTGAAGACTTCCCCTGGTGGAATGGGTGGATGAGAACAGTTTGTTCCAATGGCCATGAAGGCAGTTAAAGCAGGCCCTGTGGAGTGCTTAGAGCTTGGTCAGGCATCAAAGATGCCAAGGTCATCCACTGCATCTTGGGCCATCACCAGTTTTCTTGATTTTTTGTCTTGCCGCTGGATCCAATGACTCTGGAAGACAGAGTGAGGCTGATGATTTTGTGCAGCTTTGCCTCACGTAAATTCAATTTATGTATGAGTCAAAAGACATCACCCATACCATTTTACCATTTTTACCTACCTCAAAGTCCTGTGGCAACAGGCAAATGACAAAACAGCAGGTGCAGATACTCTGGGAGCTGTAGTCACAACCCTGCCACAGGTAGGTCATTTTCTCACTGGACTGAAGCAGCAGTGGGATTCAGCAGCCCCTGAGTGTCTGAGCAGCCTTTTCATTTATTTCTGCTTATTTATTTATTTATTTGTTTGTTTGTTTGTTTGTTTGTTTGTTTATTTAAGGGAGGCAACTGGGGTTAAGTGATCTGCCCAGAGTCACACAGGTAGGAAGTATTGTGTGTCTCCTGGAGTCCTCCTGACTCCAGGGCTGGTGCTCTATTGAGCAGCCTTTTTAAAAGACCACATTGCTCACCTCCTGGCATGAGGTAAGGGCTAGAAAAAGTGCCCTAAAAACTGTCTGCTCCACCCAACCCTGGCCTGCTAACCATGGCAGGCAGGGATCCCACCCTGTGGTCAAAACACAAAAAAATCTACAAAAACTTTTGCAAAAATGATTCCACTTACCATTGGTACATGGAATGTGTGCACACTTATGGACAACACAAAATCTGGTAGACCTGAAAGATGAACAGCTCTTGTTTCAGCACGTATCTCATCCAAATAGAAGCCCTGAGTGAAACAAGGCTGGCAAATGAAGGCCAGCTTATTGAAGTCTGAGCTGGATACGCATTTTTGTGGAATGGCTGCAGTGATGGGGAGTGCCATGAAGTTGGCATAAGTTTCACAATTAAAACTAATCTAATCAACAAGCTTGTATGCCTCTCAAAAGAACTGTATGACAGACTCATGACAACGTGATTGCCACTTGCAGGAAAGTGCCATGCAACCATCATCAACATGTATGCTCCCTCCATGATGAACCCTGATGGGGTCAAAGAAAAAATTCATGAAGACCTGGAGACCCTCATCATCAGTGTGCCAAAAGAGGACAAGCTTGTAATTCTAGGTGATTTAGGAGGAATGGAGGTGGAAACAGCAACAATAATGTTCACTTACTATGAAAGATTTGTGGCCTCATCACCAACACTGTCTTCCATTTACCTAAATGCAACAAAACTTTGTGGATACACCCTCACAGGAAACATTGGCATTTAATAGTCTATGTCACTATAAGAAGAAGTGATATACAGGATGTGAGAGTGACAAAAGTGATGCGTGGTGCAGAATGCAGGACTGATCATAGATTTATCCTGTCCAAGATAAACATTTGAATTCAACAAAAGCTCTGGCCCCAAAGTAAGACTTCTCATCAGAAGACTTAATGTCAACGGATTAGATCACTTATCTGCGGGTGAACAGTTTGTTGCTAACTTAGAGGGAAAGTCGAGCCAACAGTGGAGCAGAAAAGGAGTGGGCAGCTTTCAGAGATTTGGTGTACAGCACTGCATTTACTCACCTGACCAGAAAACCCACAAATATTAAGACTAGTTTGATGAAAATGATGGGGAAATTTAGAAGCTGCTAAATGAAAAATGAGAACTTCACAAGGTTTTACCAGGAGGATAGTTCATCTATCTAAGAAGGCAGTGTTTAACTCCATTAAAAGTAAAGTACAAGCAAAGCTTAGAGAGATATAGGATTCTTGACTCAGTAAGATGGAAGATAAAATTCAGTTTTCTGCTGATAATAACAATCCAAAGTGTTTTTCTGATGTCCTGAAGGCTATTTATGGGCCAAAGACCTATGATGCATCTCAAATACTCAGCCATGATGGAACCACATTGATTAGTGATAAGAAAATGATCCTGCAGAGATGGGCTGAACACTTTCAGAGCCTTCTCAACAGACCATCATCGACCAATGCTGAAGTCACTAATTGCTCACCTTAAGTTAAAGTAAACCCCTCTCTAGCAGAACTTCCAACTGAAGAAGAGGTTTGGAATGCCATTAGGCTCCTCTTGTGTGGTGCCTGGTGCTGATTCTATTCCAACTGAGATTTACAAAGCAGGGGGTCTACTGCTCATACCAAAGTTGACTGAATCTTTCTGGTTATATGGCAAGAAGAGGTTATCCCATAGGAATTCAAGGATGTCTCAATTGTCCTCTATAAAGGAATGGGTGGGAGGGGGGGGTCATCTCTCTTGGTCACTGCTGGAAGCATTCTTGCCAGAGTGCTTCTCAGGCTACTCCTTCAGTTGAAAGATGGGCACCTACCCAAGAGCCACTGTGACTTCAGAAAGGACCAAAGAACGGTTGATATGGTGTTTACTACCCAACAACTCCAGGAGAAATAACCAGGAGCAGAAAAGAAGTCTGTACCCAATGTTTCCATCTGACCACGACTGATCAGTTGTGAGGGATTGTGGAAGATCATGGCAAAATTTGGTTGCCTGGAGAAGTTCATCAGTATTGTACGCCAGTTCCATGACAGTTTGCATGTGGGTTCTCTTGTGCATTCCCAGTCACCAATGGAGTGAAGCAGGATCGTGTGCTTACTCTCATGCTTTTTAGCATGATGTTTTCAGCAATCTTGTCAGATGCTTTCAATGAGGATGAAAATGGCATCAAGGTAAGCTACTACACTAACAGTAAATTATTTAACTTGAAAAGGCTACAAGCCAAGACAAAAGTGGAGGGAGAGCTGGTGCTCAACTTTTTGTTCGCAGATGATTATGCACTCAATGCAGCCTCTGAGGCTAAGATGCAACAGAGTATGGATCAATTCTCTGCTGCTTGTGCTAATTTTGGCCTGACAGTTAACACCAAGAAAACAGAGATTCTTCACCAACCAGCACCATACCATCTATATGTGGAACCATATGTTACAGCAAATGGAAAAATTTTGAATGCTGTGGATAAGTTCACTTACCTTTGCAGTATACTTTTCAGGAATATACATACATAGATGATGAGTTTGACACATGTAATGCCACAGCTAGCTCAGTGTTTGAGAGGCTTTAAAGGAAAGTATGGAAGAGAAGAGGTATTAAGCTGCCTACCAAACTGGAGGTATACAGAGCCATTGTGCTCATTGTTGTATGCCTATAAAACCTGAACAATATACCAGTGCCGCGCCAGGAAATTGAATGGCTTCCATTTGAATTGTCTTAGGAAGATTCTGAATATCACCTGGCAGGAGAAGATACCAGACACTGAGGTCCCTTCTCCAGCTAAACTGCCAAGCATTCAAATTCTACTGCAAAGAGCATTACTCTGATTGGTGGGCCAAATACAGTTTGCCTAAAAGACTATTTTACCGAGAACTCACTAGGCGTTCAGTGATACAAGAACTCTCTCAAGGTTTCTCTGAAGAACTCTAGAATCAATTGTGAGAAACAATTGTGAGATGGTGTACCCACATCAAAGCACTGTGTTCCATGAACAAAACAGAAGTGTAGTAGCTCAAAAGAAAAGTGACATGCAAATTAAGAGTCTCCATTCCAAATGTTCATATGGGTTATTTGTGCCTGACGTGTGGTAGCACCTTCTAAGTTCATGTTAATCAGACACAGTCAGACACACTGTTCCTTGACCCTGACATAGTGATGTCAATTTGGTCCTCTTCAAGCATGAAGAACAACCACCATGCTGTGGTGGCTCAGGCAAAGGCTACCTAGGCCTGCACTGGACATTGATCTGGCCCTTGCTCCTACTGTGGCCAAAGCAGGGCTACTTGAGCATCCTGTTGCCTGGGGTGTGGTCTAACCCTGTCTCTTGCTATGGATCTGAGCCCATCTGTACACTTTGCCTTCTACCTACCATGGTTTTTCTTCACGCAGAGCCTCTGTATGGCAGAGAAGGAGTTTATAGTTATTTTTCTTTGAAGGAGCTTATAGCTGTTTTTCTTTGGTTTTCTTTATTATTTCTTCTGATTCCTTTTTAGAAATTTGTTGGGAGATATGGGCCCTTTTAGGTCCTAACACGACACCTTTTTGTTGTTGTTCAGTCATGTCCAACTCTTTGTGACCTCATTTGAGGGTTTTGGTTTTTTTTTTTTTGCAAAGATACCACAGTATCATTTCCCTCTCCAGCTTATTTTATAGATGAGGAACTGAGGCAAACAGAGTTAAGTGACTTGCCCAGGGTCACAAAGCTAGTGTCTGAGGCTAGATTTGAATTCACAAAGTTGAGTCTTCCTCACTCCAGGCCTGGTTATCTATCCACTGCACCACCTGACTGCCCCCAACACACCACCAGAGTCCAACAACTCTCAACAGACATGCAGTAATAACCCTAAAAACTCTGTTGCTTCCAAAGAGTCATATTCTCCTGTCACTTAATATCCTAGGTCTGTGGAAGCTCTTTTTGAAATTTATCAAGGTGTTTGATTTGTTTTGATCTGGCCTGTGCTTAGAAGTGAAAAGTAAGTCAGGAATCCCTCCCTTCACCTTAGTCACAAAATAAAAGAAAAGTTGATTTCAAAAGCTCAACAGAATTGATATTTCCCCATGTTTACATAAATACATAATTAAATAATTTTACCCTAGTAGCTACTTTAAAAAAAAAAACTAGTATGAGCATTTCTTATAAGAGTTGAAAGAAACATACTAAAGCAAAATAGGAGCACAAATAGAAAAGCTCTCAACAACTGATAATCCATCTTGTTTAGAAGGTTGGTGAGGTAAGAAACCTTACCTTTTCTATTTCTTGACAGTTCCATTTGACTGACTCCAAGACAATCAAAATAGCTAAAATGATAAAATTTAACTTTTCTTTCATAAATTATTTAATTAAGCTAAGATAAAACATGGAAGCCTTTTCCTAGAAAGAATGATTCTAGATATTATGGAAAGTTAATGAGGGAAATCTCTTGGTAGCTTAAACTCTGATTATGCTACAAATCTCCTCAACTTTCTATTTATTCATTGTTTTCTATCTTGGAAAACTGTCCATTCTGAACCTTTTAAGGATGCTTGATAATCATATAAATTAATAGAATTCTATAGAGTCTTGAAGCTGTGCCTTCTTCACTGTGATTCACATCCCTAAATTTGATTTGTCTGTCTCATGATAAAGTCTTTTCTCTACCCAATTTAGGAATCAGCCCCAGTGGGCAGGGGTTGTGTTCAGGTCCCATGTGTCATGTGTCAAACAACACTGCATTGGTTAAGAACCACTTACCTCGGGGCAGCTAGGTGGTGCAGTGTATAGAGCACTGGTCCTGGATTCAGGATGACCTGAGTTCCAGTCTGGTCTCAGACCAGACATTTAACACTAGCTATGTGACCTTGCACAAGTCACTTAACCCTAACTGTCTTGCAAAAAAGAAAAAAAAAAGAACCACTTACCTGCATTAAGCAGCACTTTCACACAATCCAGATGCTCCCTTGCACAGGCAACGTGCAATGGAGTACCAAAATGGCAGTCATGGGCTTCTAGATTAGCCCCAACATCAATGAGAAGTCGCACACATTCAGAACTTCCTTTAAATAAATTAAAAAGGAAGCATGAAAGTTAATAAATGTAGACCACTCTCTTTATTGTAAAATAATAAATATAACTGAAAGTGGATCCCAAGTTCTGGTTAAAAAGACAAAACCACAACTCTGTCCTAACCTTGTAAGCAGTTTACATTTACCATGTGATTCTAAGGAAGCAATTAATAGTTACTAGACCAAAGGCATAGGACAGACTATTCAGTCATGCCTATATGAGAGCTAGAATGAGAGAAACTATATAGAGAATTTCCTCTCTAGTTGGGAATAGACAATTCCTATTCTATTACTCCTAGAGGAGTCCTGACTGGAAAAGATGATGCTCACTATCCCTTGCCCCAATGTCTCCCTCTTACCTCAGGAAATATTGTAGAAACTAGCAGTCCTGTAGTTATTTTAGTACTGGCATCCCCAAAATCGTGTGGAAGAACCTTCTACCAATCTTCCACTAATATTATTTTGGCTCTCTTTCCTTCTTTTCTGTTTCTTTCACTGGTTCTTTTTTCCTCTACTGTCCTAAATGAATCTGTTCCAACATTCAGTCCTAGACCCTCTCTTCTCTATATATACCCTCAGTTTCAGAGATTTCTTTCACTATCTATCTTGGCTTTAACTATTAGGATAATTCTTTCATCTTCAGCCCTGACTTTTCTTCTAGGCTTCAGTTCTACACCTCTAAAAGCCTGATGGACTTTTCTACCTTGATGTCTTGTCATCATCATTCAGCAAACATATTACACACCTTCAATATGCAAGGTACTATGCTAGTTATTAGAGATGCAAAACTAAATACATATAACATGAAGCTAACAATGTACAGTAAAAGATATGGCATACACACAAGTAACTATAATGCCAAATAAGATATAAGTACATGAAAGATTTACATTAAAAAGTACCTAAAAGTATGCCAAGAGAATTTATGAGGCAAAGATCAGTTCCCACTACAAAAGGTTAGGAAAGGCTTCATGGAAGAGTGGGCATCTGGGATGGACCTTGAACACATGAGTAAGATTTCAAGAGGCAGAGATATTAAGGTTAGTGTGGAAAAGATGATGTTCCAAGAATGGGGAGCAGTATGAGCAAAGACAGCCAGATAGGAAAGCATGGGATATGTATTCCAGTTGTCTGGATTATAGAATAATTAAGTATGGGTGCTATGAAATAAAGAAAGGGAAACTGGAGTCAGATTATGGAAAGCCTTCAATGTCAATCTAATGAGTTTAGACTTTATTTGGTAGGCAATAGGAAAGGTTTTTGAGCAGTGGGGCAATAAGACAGTGAATCTGCTAAGGCAGCTACCACAAAACCTTCAGGAAAAGGTAAAGACTGCCTACTAGTATAGAGGCAGTAAGAATAAAAGGCGCAGGGAGTGGGAGATAGGAGAGGAGAGGAGGGATGCTAGCAATACAAAAGCAACAGAATCAACAAGAGAGAAAAGGCAAAGATGATTTTCAAATTAAGAGAATGGGTGACTAAAAGAATGGTGATACTGCTGACAGAAATAAGGAAGCCAAGAAAAGGAAGAGTTTTCAGAGAATGGACAATAATTTCAGTTTAAGGCATGTTGAGCTTAAGATGCCAGCAGAACATCCAGGGGAAGATGTCTAGTAGGTAGTTGAAATGTGAATCTGTATCAAAGGAGAGATCAAGAATAGAGATACGTATTTAGGAATCGTCTGAATAGAAGTGAATGCCAAGGGAGTGGATTAATTTCACCAAATGAAGGAATGTAGACAGAGACTATATGAGAAGAGGTCAAGAACACAACCTGGAAAATGGAGATAGAACAATAAAGAGCAGACAATTAAAAAGATAAAAGAAAACAGGAAGAGAATCAGGAGGGTGAAATGTTATGAAAGCCAAGGGAGAAAAAATAATCCAGAAAGACTGGGATTAACAGCATCAAAAGCTGCAGAGTTCAGAGAGGATGGGCAACTGAACTCAGAAACTGGGAGGTTCCTTGATAAGATCATTGATTTAGAGATGAAAGGGACTTCATCTATTCCAACCCCTTCATTTTTTTTTAAAGATGAAGGAATTGGGACCCACAGAGGTTAAATAACTTGCTCAAGGTTTGATAGTAAGTAGTAGAGTAAAAATTTGAACCCAGAGCCTTTGAATCCAAATCCAACATGCTAACACTGGTGACTTTTGAGATAGCAGTTTCAATAGAAAACTCAACATGTCTAAAACTATCCATCTCGTCCTTCACAAATCAGAATTTATGTTCCTTTGTAATATGATTTCCAGCTACCTTTCCACCTTATCTTCCACTATTTTCTTAACACGTATCTCTCTGTTTAATCAAGATTGGCTTAATCACTGTTCCATAAACATAAAATTTTATGCACATCTCTACCTCTGTCTTTGTCCACTATATTATAAAGACAGCGCTGGAAGGAACCTCAGAGATCACTGAATTGAACCACCTCATTATTTTACAGAGGAGGAAACAGAGGCCTGCAGAGGTTAAGTGACTTGCTCAGAGTCACAGAGTTAGTAGAGATGGGAGTCAAAACCAGGTCCTTTGATTCCTTCCCACCATTCCTTTCCTCCATCTGGAATTCTCTGTGCCTACCTAAATCTGACCCATTCTTCAAGGCCCACCTTTTCCATGAAGCTTTTACCAACCATCCCAGACCATAAGGAGTAATCTTTCCCTTTTGCTGTTTTTACCTCTTATTTGGTACTTATATCTAGCCCTGTATTCTGCCCTGTATCATTTTATGTGCCTGTGTCTTATCTTCCCCAACTAAACTATACTTTCCGTGAAGGCAGGTATCTTACCTTATGTGACTTTGCTTCTAGCAACAGTAGGTGGCTGATAAATGTTTGTTGATTGATCCCTACCTATTACCTGCCAAATACTTTGAACTCAAGCTAAAAAAAAACATTATAACATAAAATACCCCTCCTGGAGATCAAAAGTGTCTTTTTGGGAGGCAACATCTACAATTAAATCATGTATTTCTGCCCCTATGAGACAGAGACCATGATAATAATATCATAGGTGGGGGAAGGGAAGCTAAGAGCAGAAACAGATCTCAAGACCTTTTTCCCTTGCTTTGAGCCTAAATATGCTTCCCTGAAACTTCTACACGTTGTACCTAGTTTTCTCCTTTGAACAAGTCTAATCCTACTTCCATGTGACAGTCCTCAAAATACTTGAGGACAACTGTCATGTTCCTGCCCTCCCCACCCGTTTTCCCTTCTCCAGTATAAATATCCCCAGTCCCTTCAAATTAGTTTCATATAACTTAACCTTAAAGGCCCTTACCCATTTTGTGTTCCAGATCCTAAAATGTGGTGCCTCAAACTTAATACTCCAGATGTGGTCTGGATATTTTGCTTTTCTTTTTTTTAACTGTAATCTATTAACATTAACTTTCCTTACTGCTATATTGAAACACTGACATGTTGAATCTGCAGTCAACTAAACGCCAAACATTTTCTTTGTGCTCTCTAGTCATGCATTTCCTGTCTTATACTTTTGAAGTTAATTTTTGGAATCAAAATGTAGTACTTCACATTTATCTCTATTAAATTTCACCTTATTTACCTAGGCCCTCTTTGAGATATTTTTGAATGTTGATTTTTTAATTCAACATTAGTTGTCATTCTAAATTTCTGGTCACCTGAAAGTTTGATAAGCATTCTATCCATGCCTTCATCTGAGTAATTTTAAACATTTTTTGACCACCACATAACCAAGGACAGCTTCCTGAGGCAAGACATTAGAGATCTCCCTTCAAGCTGATCTTGAATCACTAGTCCAATCATTTAACCAGTTTCCAATCCATCTAATCCTACTATCTGTTAGTAAGTATCACATCTTATCTAGCATGAGCAACTTTATTAAGTACTTTGCTTTCATCTTAATCTCAGACAGAAAAATGAAACTTTATAAGAGCAAAAATATGGGAACCTGTCAAACCACTGAGAAGCAGGCTGAAGCTTTTCCCACAGACTCTGAACTACTGTAGATCATCATCCAAGCCTCATTCCCCATCCCCTACCCCCTACCATCTGATTCCTCATTGCCATACTTCTCAGCCTTTCTACCCCAAAGTTTCAACCTAATTCCCCCCAGCCCTTCCAAAGTGCCCTCTGGAATGGCTGTTCCCTAGGTAACAGACATCCCTTCAATTTAAACCTTTTTCTCACCCACTCCTTCCACCTTCTTCAGTTCTTACTGAAAGCTGGCCTCCCCCCTGACAACACAGCCTTCCTGGCTGCACTCATTCTCCTTGACTCACTGGTTGAAGCACAGGAGTTGGAATACTCTTGCTCCCCATTGCTACTTCCAGGTTCTCTCCCTGCCTCCATCTCTCCTCCTTTGAGGTTCATGATTTTCATCTCTATTACCCAATCAAAATCCTGGTAGCTACTGTCTACAGACCCCCAAGTCATTCTCCTTCCTTCTGAAATGAGTTTAGTACCTGGCTCAAAATTTTTCTCTCCTCCCCAACTCCTGCCCTCATAGTAGGGGGCTTCAACATACTGACTCTCTCTCACAAACCCTAACCACTCAGTTCCTTAAGCTACTCACTTCCATGAGCTATTCCTCCACTCCTACTTCAGCTACAGAGAAAGATGGTCATACCTTGATCTTGCCATCTACAGCAAATGTACTACCTCTATGTTCAAGAATTCCAAAATCCCCTTACCCAACCATAACCTATCAGCATTTCACTTCTTCCTTTGCCCTCCGTTACATAGTCATACTCTTCATCTTCACCGTTATCTCCAATCCCTTGACCCCTCAAGTCTCTCCTAGGCCATCTCCCCTACACTAGACACTCTCTCCTCTCTTACCTCTCTTGATCCTTTGCTGAACCAATTCAACTCTACAGTGTCCTCCTCTCTTGAATCCCTACCCCCTTTATCATATTGCTGATTACACTCAGCCAAGCCTAAGTTTTGGATCACTTCCACCTTTTGCTGCCTTTGTTCCTACACATGCTGCTGAACAATGATGAAGAAAATCATACAATCATTCTGACTCAGTCCATTACACAATCTCAACTGGGCTCTCACTGATGCTAGGCAATCCTACTATACCTCTCTTATCAATTTCCTATCTCACTCTCCACAGCAGCTCTTCCAGCCTTTTCATCTGTCTTCAAACCTCCTAATGGCTTCCCCTTCCCCTACTCTCTCAGCTGAGAAGTTTGTCTCATATTTTACAGAAACAATTGAGGCCACTCTATGAGCTCTCTCTTCTTGCCTCATCCTTATCTCCTATAATGCAGGTGCCTTCTGCTATTCTTTCCTCCTTCACTTCTGTTTCAAATGATGAAGTGGTGTTACTTTTTCCCAAGGCTAATCCCTCTACTTGTTCTAGCAATCCCATTCCATCCCATCTCCTCCAACAGATTGCCTCCTTTGTCATCCCCACTCTTTCACTTATTTTCAGTCTCTCCCTCTCATTAGACTCATTCCCTACTACCTACAAGCATGTCTGTGTCTTCCCTCACTTAATCCTTCTACCCCCACTATTGTCCCATATCTCTTCAGCCCTTTGTAGCTAAACTCAAAAAGGTGCCTCCACTTTCTTTTCTTTCACTGTCTTGCTCATCCCTTATAATTCAGCTTCTGCCCTTATCATTCCATTGAAACAACTCTCTCCAGAGTTATTAATGATCTCTTAGTTGTCACATCTAATGGCCTTTTCTCAGTCTTCATTCTCCTTGACCAATCTGCAACTTTTGACAATGCTAATCACTCTCTCCTTTTTGATACTCTCTTCTCTCTAGGCTTTCGGAATACCGCTCTCTCCTAGTTCTCCTACTTATCTAAACGCTCCTTCTCTGTTTCCTTTGCTAGATACTCCTTCAGATCACACCTCCTAAATGTAGGTGTTCCTAAGGGTTCTGTCCTGGGCCTTTTTCTCTTCTCCCATCTTATTTCCCTTGGTGATCTTATCAGCTCAAATTGATTTAATTACAATTATATGCTGATAATTCTCAGACCTACTTATCCTGCCCCAATCTCTGCTGACCTCCAATGTTGCACCTCCAACTGCCTTTTAGACATCTTGAACTAGATGTCCAACAGGTATCTTAAACTCACTATGTCCGAAACAGAGCTCATTTTCTTTCCCCCTAAATTTTCCTTCCCTATTACTAAATGTGACAATACCATCCTCCTAGTCCCTCAGACTCACAGCCTAGGAGTCATCCTGGGCTTCTTACTGTCCCTAATCTCCCATAGATCCATATCTGTTGCTAAGGCCTGTCAATTTCACCTTTGCAACCTAATATGCCCCTCTTCTCTTCTGACACTGCCATCACTCTAGTGTAGGCCCTCATCACCTCACACCTGGATTATTGCAATTGCCTGCTAGTAGGTCTGCCTGCCTCAATTCTCTCCCCACTCTTATTCATTATCTGTTCAGCCACTAAAATGATTTTACCATTTGGCATTCAAAGCCCTTCATAACCCAGCCCCCTCCTACCTTTCCAGTCTTTTTATACATTATTCCCTGACCCATATTCTTTGATTCTCTGACAGTGGCCTCCTGACTGTTCAATGAACAAGACCCTCTATCTCTCAGCTCTAGCCATTTTCTCTGGCTGGAATGCTGTGTATCCTCAAATCTGCTTACTGCCTTCTCTGACTTTTCAAAGTCCCAATTAAATCTCATCTTCTGTAGGAAACCTTCTCTAACCTCTCTCAATTTTAGTGCCTTCCATTTGTTAATTATTTCTTCTATATCCTGTATATAGCGTGCTTTGTATATAGTTCCTTGCATTTTGCCCCTTGAGCGCAGGGACTGTCTTTTGCCTCTTTTTGTATCTAATTCTTAGCACAATGCTTGGCACATAATAAGCCCTTAATAAATGTTTGTTGAGATTGACAGGGAGCCTCAAACAAGAAGAATACATGGGGCAGCTAGGTGGTACCGTGGATAGAGCACCGGCCCTGGAGTCAGGAGGACCTCAGTTCAAATCTGGCTTCATACACATAACACTTACTAGCTATGTGACCCTGGCCAAGTCACTTAACCCCACTGCCTAGCCAAAAAAAAAAAAAAAAAAGAAGAAGAAGAAGAAGAAGAAGAAGAAGAATACAACAGAAAACTAGGCCAGTGAGGCTCTACAGAAGACTACTCACCACTCATGCAGGCTTCATGTAGTGGGGATGCAGTATACAGTGGTGGGTTGACTTTTGCCCCATGAGAAAGCAGTAGCTTCACACATTCAATGCTGCCTGAGGCACAGGCATCACAAAGTGGGGTACTGCCATCAACGTTCCGGGCATCCACCTCAAAAGGGAAAAAAAAGCACACATACACACACACACCACATGATGGAAAACATATCTTGGCAATACTCATCTCACTATACTCAACAATCTCTCTTACAGAAAAAGTTCTAAAGGTACTTATTTTGTAAATTCATTTATATAGTACTTTATGATTACGAAGTACTTTAACATATATCATAAGTGACGAAACCTATGTGAAGTTTGTCCAGCAGAGGCTGCTAAGATAATAATAAATAATAATGCCAATATTAATGTGATATTTTACAGTTTATATAACTTTCTTCACAACAACCTTATGAAAAAGGCAGTGCCCTAATATCACCATTTTATAGATGAGAAAACTGAGGGTCAGAAAGGTTAAGTAGACTATAAACTCCTTAAGGGCATAGACTTTCATTTTTGTTTTTATATTCTTAATACAGAACTTAGCACATATCAAGTACTTAGTAAATGCTTGCTGGAATGAATTAAGTGACTTGCCCACAGTCACACAAATGAATGACTAAGTAAGTCTAGATTTAAACTTCTGACTATAAGTTGGGTTACGTGTTTCACTAAAATATGCTCTGCTTAAAGTTCTGTTTTTAACAGAAATGTAAATCCAGCTTTGTTCTTTGATCAAATTAAAGACCTAAGGAGCACAGTGAGGGTCAAGGAAATATTAGGTTTAGGAGTGTAAGCAGCTTTCCAAGATAAAAAAAATTGTACACACGACCCACTTTAAAATTTAACCTGTACTATTAACATTGCTTTCATCACTTTCTACCATAGGTTCCCAAAGTGGGTGATACCGCACCTGGGAGGGGGGGACACTAGAATAATCCAGGTGGGTGGTAGTAGCCTCAGGTGCAATTGGGGTGTTGAATAAAAAGAAGGGGGCAGTGGAAGCATAAGGAAAGAAGATAAGAAAATTTTGAAAAACCATCCATACATATTTCATCTGTTGTGTAACAGAGTTAAATTACAGTAATTACATTATTTTTCAAATAAACACATAAAATGCAAGTTATAACCAATCAATGATCAAGTCTGCCAAAATCTCAATGCAGGGAAAAATTTACAAAAAATTATTAAATTTAAGATGTGTTATTTAAAAAAAATATATATATAGTATGGATTTGAAATGACACAAATTTCAAAAACAAATCATTAAAGGGTTAAAGAAACTAGATTGGGGGGTGCTGAGTAATTTTTTTTTTAATTTTAAATTTTTTAAATTTTTAACATGTGTTTTTAAAACTTTGTGTTACACATTTTCTCCCTTCCTCCCTCCCTACCCACCCTCATTGAAAAGGCAAGCATCTTGATACAGGTTATAGATGTGTAGTCATGCCAAACAATTCCATAGTAGTCCTATTGTGAAAAACTAAGTATATTTCCCTTCATCCTATCCTATCCCCCATTTATTCTATTCTCTCTTTTGACCCTGTCCCTCCTCAGAAGTGTTTGCTTTTGATTATCCCCTCCCCCAATCTGCCCTCCCCTCTATCAACCCCCTGCTCTCTTGTCCCCTTCCCCCCTTATTTTCCTATAGGGTAAGATAGATTTCCACACCCAATTGTGTATGTTATTCCCTCCTTAAGCCAAATCCTATGAGAAAAAGATTCACTCATTCCCTCTCACCTTCCACCATTTCCCCTCCACTGTAAAAGTCTTTTCTTGTCTGTTTCATGTGAGATATTTTATGTCATTCTACTTCTCCCTTTCTCCTTCTCCAATATAATCCTCTCTTACCCCTTAATTTTATTTTCCAGATATCACCCCTTCATCTTCAACTCACCCTGTGCCCTCTATCTATCTATACATACATACAATTTTTTTCCCTCCCACTACCCTAATACTGACAAAGGACTCATGAGTTACAAATATCTTTCCCTACAGGAATGTAAACAGTTCAACCTTAGTAAGTCTCTTATGATTTCTCTTTCCTGTTTACTTCTTCCATGTTTCACTTGAGTCTTGTATTTGAGGGTCAAATTTTCTATTCAGCTCTGTTCTTTTCCACAGGAATGCTTGAAAGTCCCCTATTTCATTGAATGATCATTTTTTTTACCCTGAAGGATTATACTCAGTTTTGCTGGGTAGGTGATTGTAGGTTGTAGTCCTAACTCCTTTGCCCTCCGGAATATCATACTCCATGCCCTCTGGACCCTTAATGTAGAAGCTGCTAAATCTTGTGTTATCCTCATTGTGTTTCCACAGTACTTGAATTGTTTCCTTCTGGCTGCTTGCAATGTCTTCTCCTTGACCTGGGAATTCTGGAATTTGGCTACAACATTCCTAGGAGAATAATTTTTTTAAAACGGGGCAGTAGGCCAAATAAGTTTGGGAACCTCTGAGACAATCAATAAAACAATAAATCAAGATCTAATCTGCAAGCATTTGCTAATTTCTAATGTAAATGCTCACATTGGAAATGTGATAATTGGTTCCAGTTTGAGCTGGCTCCAGCACACCTTTGAGTTTGGGTGGAAAAGAATATAGAAATGAATTTAGCTTCCCAACCAACGGAGCAAAGAACCAGGAAATGAGGAGCTCTTGTCCTTTCTCATCATAATGAGCCACCTCTGATGCTTTGATAAATCAGATTTGAAGAGGTCAGGAAAAAATAGCATGAAAAATTGGCCAACTTTACATGGACTTTTTGCCAAGTTACACATCTTCCACTCAAACAAAAACCAAACTTCCTGATAGAATTTGCTAGTTTTGAAAAGGTATGGGAAAGACGGCAGCTAACTTTTCTCTTTTTATTGCTATATTATCCCACCTTCTGGTACCCAGGAATCCCAAGTGCAGTCCCTTTGAAAATATTGGTCATAACTCTATGAGCTTTAAAATACCAGAAGGCAAGAAACTACCTTGTAGTCACAACTCTACTGTGGGGTTCAAGTTCTGCCTTTTATACATACTAGCTACATGACCATGGGCTAGCAACAATGTCTCAGAGCTCCTCACCTACACTGATGAATAAAGCTCTGATAGCTCCCAGTTCCCTGGATCCACCCCACTCCACCCTCTTCAAATGTATTATTCTAGGCTAGAGTCATCTTTACCTATCTGTGAGGACATTTTTCCATTTCCCTAATGAAGTCAAAAGGGTTATTTAGCATGAGCAGTATTGGCCCCAAGGGGAGAGTACTGTGGCATACAGCTTCCACCATCACTCCTTTCACATGCTAGAAACACTCAATGAATAGAATTTGTTGCTGTTACTGGATTTGGGTTTTTCTCTCTTCAAAGTAAAATAGAAGGAATATAGAGGAAAGGAGTCTATACAGATACATGTCCTGGCTCACAAGTTTGCTCAACAGCAGTGTGAGTGAGGCCCTGTTACCAGTCCCCTCCCTACTAGCTCACATCCAACCAGTGAAAACACTCCTGCCCAGAACATAGCTACAGTCACCTCAGCATTAGTGAGATCAATCTTGGCTCTAAGGACCCAAGATAGTTACTTAACTTGATACTCAACCCAAATTTCCCATTTCCATCTCCTCAGTCCAGCAAAAGAATACACTGACCCTATGCTAACACTGTCTTTTGACTTACATGACCTTGGTGAGTCAGTACCTTAACACTTTCTTCCTCCTTTGACTAGCAAATTCCCATTTTCAGTCGCTCAATCTCTGTGATCTAGTGTTTACTAAAGTAAAAACCTCCTTCAACTGCTACCATTCCTTGTATACCTCCAACCAGCTCAGTCTCCTTTAGTCCCTTCCTCTGCCTTCCCCATCTACTTTGCCTTCTGGAAGCTCTTTTAAACAAACTCCCCTTTATCCTTTATCTTCTCCATATCCTCATACTTCCCTGGCCATCCTCTTTAGTATGGGGTACTTATTTTTTCATGCCCAGACAAATTAGGCCAAGAAAAAGGCTGAGCACATTCCTTGTTCTTCATTGTTACTCCAAAATGCTCCCTCTATCACCATCACTCAGAAACCTGAGTGTCCTCTGAGGTTGTTAAATCACTAATTTGCTATTAATCTACCAGGTTAATTCACAGAATTTGAGAGTTGGAAATAACTCAATGGCCATTTAATCCAACCAATACACAAAAAAGAATCCCCATTATGTATACAGAACAAGTGACTATCCAGCCTCTACTTGAAAACCTCCAAAGAAGGTAAACCTAATGCCTCTCACAGCAGGCCATTCCACTTTTAGACAGCTCGAATTGTTGGGAAATTTTTCCTGACATCAAGCCTAAATTTGCCCCTTTGTAACTTCTACCCACTGCTACTGGTTTGGCCCTCTGGGACTAAACAAAACAAATCTAATCCCTCTTTCATTAAACAGCTCTTCAAATAGTTAAAAACAGCTAAAAGTTAAAAGATAGTTAAAAGAAAACTATCTCTAGGAGTCTTCTTTTCTCCATGTTAAACATGCCCAGTTCCTTCTACCAATTTTCACATGACACAGACTCAAGACTGTTCACCATATCTAGATGTCCTCTTCTGCATACTCTTCAGCTTATGCACTATTCTTCTTAAAGTGTGGTTTCCAGAACTGACAATGATACTTCAGATGAGGTCTGATGAGGCAAAGTACAGGGAGACTATCACCTCCCTATTTCTGGAAGCTATGTCCCCTCTTAATGCAGCTCAAGATTTCATTTCATTTTTTTTATTGCCATATCACACTGCTGACTCACATTTTTCAGAACAAGTAATTTCTATTTATATAGTTCTCCCATTTTGCACTTGTGAAATTGGATTTTTTGTACCCAAGTGCAAGCAACTTTAAATTTATCTCTATGGAAAATCACCTGGTAACATCAGGCTCATTGCTTTAGTCTGTCAAGATTGTTTGGGCTGTGACATCCATTATGTTAGCTACCCTTCTGAACTTTGTGTCATCTACAAATGAGAGGAGTATACCATCTATGTCTTTATCCAAGTAACTAATAAAAATGTTAAAACAATACAGGGTCAAACATGGAGCACTCAGGTACTCTAACAGAGACCTCCTGCCATGCTGACACTGAGACATTAACAACTACTTCAAGTCTAACCATACAACCGGTTCCAATTAATTTGACTGTATTGTCATCTAATCCATATCTCTCTATCTTCTCCACAAGAATACTTTATCAAAAGTTTTGCTAAAATCTAAATAAGCTATATCCACAGCATTCCCCTCTTTTATTTATCTATTAGTAACACTGTCAAAAAAGGAAATGTGGTTAGTTTGTCCTTGATTATACTGTCTCCTTTCTCAAAAAAGTCAGTACAAAACTCTTCTACTCCAAACCCTTAAATATCTCCTTAAACATCTCTGTCTCCTAGTTCATCAACCTCTTCAATTCTCATAACTATTCCTTCACTTCAACTAAGCTACCCACAAAGGTGATCAGAAAAGACGACACAGAAGGTAGTACATGAGTTGAACATTGAAGGAAACTAAAGATTCAAAAAAGAGCTAGTATCAAAAGCTCCTCCTTCCTCAGGAATAGGTTGTGTAGCCCAGAATGAACCTCTAAACAGCAGATTCACCCTTCCCTATAAAAATGACTCCATACAAAGATGACCAACCTGGGCTCCAGCAGCCAGCAGAAGTTTCACACATTGTGTCTGACCCTGAAGGCTTGCCTCGTGCAGAGGTGTGATGGAGTCCACAGTGGCCAGGTTGACACAAGCACCATTCTCAATCAGTTGCTGTAGCTGCAAGGTTTCGCCCTGTTGGGCGGCTTCATGAACAGGTGTCCTATCCACCCAGAAACCTAGGAAGAAAAAGGGAGCCCTTAAATACTGCCACACAATTTCTCTGAAGCTCAAAACACTCTTTTCTCCACACACAACCACATCTCTTCTATTTTTCATACAATAATTATGTTTGCTCTCATTTTAGAGATAAGAAAATTGTGTCCTTAGAAACAGAGGCAGGATTTATTTTTTATTTCTAAGGCCATGTCTACTACGATATACTACATGTACTTCCCCACAATATCTGTTTTGCAAAATGCCTTATGTACTGTTGTTGTTGTTTTTTTAAGGAAGTAACCAGCATAGAAACAGAGAATGTAAAGGTTTAAAAGTAGAAATGGGATAACTAGCATTTATTAGGCATCCATTGTGTGCCAGACATTGCTGGGTGCTGGAAACAGAAAACAAAAAAGGAAATACTATCTGTCATCAAGAAGCTTACATTCTCAAACAGGCAGGGAGACAATATGTACACATAAAAGCAAAATACATGCAAAATGTAGACCCCTCCCCAAGAAAGTCAATGACAAAAAGAAAGGCTCCATTTATGCCAAAATATTTATAAATGAACTTTTCAGGGTAACAAAGAATTAGAAGTAAAGTAAATGGTCATCAAGTGAAAAATGGCTAAACAAACCGTGGCACATGAATATAATGGAACATTACTATGATGTAAGAAAAGACAAACATGATGAATACAGAGAAGCATGAAAAGACTTAGATAAACTGATACAAGGGAGGTAAGCAAAATGGAAAACACTAAAACATTTTAACAATGTAACACTCTCCAAGTTACTAGTTGCTAGTTCCAACAGCCATATTTCTCATTATTACTCCCTTTTCAAATACTTTACATTCCAGTCAAATGAATTAATCATTCTCAATCAAATTAATTTCCTTAATCTTAATTCTATAATTCTCCATACATTCCTGAAGGATGTCCTACCATGCCTGGAACATCCTCCTTCCACATTTATACCTATTGAAACCTTTCTCATCATTCATGGATCCATTCTTCCAGAAAGCCTTCCCAGAATCTCCAGGCTGGAAGTGACTATTCCTTCCTCAAAGTCTGAGAAACGGTAAAAATATCCCTCCACATTATCTCTCTTCTTTCAGGGAGTGTAATAATAAACTGAGTTTACTATACTTGGATATGGTTCTGAAATGAGCATTCAAATGATATTATAAGGATATAATAGAAACAACCTGAAAATATATCTTGTTCCTCTATATAATAGCTTGTTCATTATAAGCAATAAGTAAATAAAGTATCTTTGAAAGCTTATTGATAGAATTACAGAATTTCCCAGAAATTATAAGATTTTACAGAAATCAATTGCATTAGCTCTTGTAAGAATGGTCAAACTACCCTTATTCTGCTTAAACTTCAATCTAGTTTCACTTTTCTCCCTTCCTAATATAAACCATATAGTTAATTACACTGTTCTCTACTCCTGAATCCCTTGAAACCCCAACCCTGGATCATTCTCACTAACGACCTCTTGTCTTACTCTTACTCAAGTGCTGCTCAACAGAGCTGAAGAAAATCATACAACCAAACCCACTTGGATCAAGTGGGTTTGTTATTTTTCCCTGGCTAGGCCTGACTCGTGCTGATCTAAGTGCAATACTAGAACAAAAGAGACATTTATAGGTTAACAGTTAATAAAAAGCTTAGCCATGGCACAAAAAACTAACACAACCAAGCACAGATAACACATAGGGAACACCACCACCATCACCATCTTGTCTAGCAGAGAGGATGTGGTGACTCAGCCAGCTTTGAGGCATGTTTCAAGTCTGTAGGGTCCTGACTCCATTATGCCCTTGAGTTGGTTAATCAGTTAACTAACATTTATTAAGTGCCTACAATATACCAGGGGTATCATGGGGCTTGCAGGGAGGATTAGCACCTTTGGTGTCCACCTGGCACTCAACTCTCACCTGTGACTCCAAGAAGCTGTCACATGCACAGCAGCCACACCCTAGTATAATCATCTCAGCAGACAGGCTAAACCAGGCTGACGGGCTCAAACCTGTTGGTGAGTTAGGGTGACATCTACCCCAAGTATGTGAAGACTTCCCCTGTAGTAATGAGAGCATGAGAACAATTTGTTCCAATGGCCAGGAAGGCAGCTGAAGCAGGCGCTGTAGAGCGCTGAGAGCTGGGTCTGACATCGAAGATGCTAATGTCATCCATTGCATTCCGGGCCATCATCAGTCATCTTGACTTTTGTCTTGGCATTGGACTTTGATGACTCTGGAAAAGAAAGTGAGGCTGACAACTTTGTGCAACTCCACCTCACTTGAATCCAATTTACACAAAATCAAAAGATTGAAAATAGAAAAAAATGTGTGACATCTGAAACATAAAAACATAATATAAAAAAATTTGACCTGGAAAACAGGATAATTTAAGAATCACTGGACCCTCTGAAAACCATTATTTTTTTTTAAATCTGGACAGTATATTTAAAAAAAAACCTTAAGGAAAACTGCCCAGGTCTATTAGAACCAGAGGGCAAAGTGAAGAGACAAAGGATCTACCAATTATGTCTGGAAAGGAATCTCAATAGGAAAAGTCCCAGAAATGCCACATACAATAGCCAGAGCTCCCACATCAAAAAAAACAAAAACAAAAACAAAAAAAAACCACTTTGAGCAGCCAGAAAGATGTGGCAGTTTCTACTAAAATCAAAAGATCTTGGAATGCAATATTCCAACAGGCAAAAGAAATGGGTTAACAACCAGAGATAATTTACTTTTCAAAGCTAAGTATAATCCTAAGGGGAGAAAAATGGACCATTAATGGAATAGAGAACTTGCAAGCATTTCTGATGAAAAGACCAGGGCTGGTTATGAACTCTGAAATACAAAAATAAGAGTCCAAAGAAATCCAGAAAAGATACATTTGTTTGAGCAACTGAAGAAGCTATATGATGGTGTCTACCTTCAAAACTTGAGTGTCTTTTTCTTTTCATTTAACAAGCATTTTTTTCCTTCCTCCTACCTCCCTGAACTGTACAAAAATACAATAAAATAAGCCCTTATAATAATAAATATGCGTAATCAAACAAAGCAAATTCCCACATTGACCAAGACCAAAAATGTATGTCTTGTCTTGCATCCTTAGTCCATCACTTCTCTGTCAGAAGCAGGGAGCACACTTCATCTTTGGTCCTCTGGAATTGTGGTTTGTTATTGCATTTATTTATTCTGAAGGTCTGGAGAGGGGGGAAAAGAAGGGAAAGTTAAGAGAAATATACTAATGTAATCAAGGAAAAAGGGTATGGAACCTGTTTTTTCTCATAATTGGAGTGCTTGAGAATATACAAACACGGAGAAAGGGGTAGGTGCACATTGAGAAATCTCATTCTCATCGAAAAGGTACAAAAAAGGGTTGAACACACACAGAAAGAATTTGGTGGAGAAATACATCAGACTCATCAGAGAAACAAGGGAGGAGGGAAGGATAAAAACAGGAAGGAAATAGTAACAATCACAAGCAAACAAACTCTCTGATCCTGATTAAAAGAGAGGGGGAAAAGAAAAGTAAAGAACTAGAATCTATGAGAGTACCTTACATTGCACCACAAAAAATTTTAAAAGAGACAATTTCAGAGACTCCTGGGTAGTACGAATTTATACAGCATGAAGTAAGAAAAACCAGGAGAACAATTTTGACAAGAACATCAACATTGTAATGAAAAGCAATTTTGAAAGACTTAACAACAACGATCAACTAGAATACTTTTCATGAAGCATGTTACCTACCTCATGACAAAGAAGTGATGGACACAAGATACAGAGACATACATTTTTTTTCGGATTCCTTTTGCTTGACTATACTAATTCATTCCAAGAGTTTGTTCTTTCTCTTTCTTTCTCTAAGTTTTTAATGGGAGGGAGGGTTAAGTCAGAGGGAGATTGATGCCAAAAAAGAAGACCACCATAACATGGTTTAAAATGCAAAGCAAGAGAACAAAAGGAAGTTCAGAAAGAAGTACTGACAAAGAGGACAATTTTGAAAGCTATGTGTAGAATTTATTTTATAAAATATATATGTGTAATATACACATATATTAAAGTAACAAGTATGATATGAAAAGTCACAATTTCATAAAGAATCCTCTTTTGGAGTTCTGCTTTGTATATGGAAATATTATTTTTGGTGTTTAAGTTCAGAATAAACAATGCTTCTAAAAAACATAATAGATTACAAGTAAAGGTTTGGTGCTTGATCTTTTCTTTTCTGCTTCAAGGATGACTGACCTCCCAATCTTATAAATAATCACTCATCATAAATAAGTAATAATTTGTGTTAGGTGGGATCATAGATCCATCAGAATGTCTAGAAATGTTGAAGAACAGGTGTTCTCAACCTTTTTTGTGTTATACATCCCTTTGATGGACTGGTAAAATCTATGTTCCCCTTCTAATGGGGGAATCCTTTTGTTTTTCAAAGACTTGGTCTCTCTATCTCATCTAAGCCCAGAACCACAACAGCCACTCATAAATCCAATCCTATTGCTGGTCAGCAAGGAAGCCTCCATTTCTGACCTGGGCTGGCTCACTTCCGTAGGTAGCCTGGCACACAGTAGGCATTTGACAAATGTTTATTGACTAACCAACTGACTGGTGGCCCTTAACTCACAGAAACGGCTAGGTGGCATGGTGGATAGAATGATGGTACTAGAGTCAGCAAAACCTGAATTCTTGCTCCCAGACGCTTACTAGATAAATGACCCTAGGCAACTCACTTAACCTCTATTTGCCTCAGTTTTCTAATCTGAAAAAATGGAGATAATAATTATACCTACCTCTCATGGTGGTTATGAGAATGAAATAATATTTATAAAGTACTGAACAAACCTTAAAGGGCTATATAAATGCTGGCTATTATGTTGGTGCCAGACTTAGTGCAGATACATCCAATCATCTTTTAGCCTTGTGTAGTTGAGAACTGAGCAAGTGATCCACCTTCAGAGGAGTGGATTACATATAGGAACCACCATGCCTAGATAGAATAACATTTTAAATGCATAGAATAAAATACATAGGACTAAATATTTTTTTTTAAAAAAAAACATGTCTATGGAACCTAAATGAAGACCTCCATCAGGCTGCATAGATATGATTTATGGAAATGAGACCAGAATGCCATAGGCTAAGAAGTCATCTGTGGGTTTGTAATATGCACTGGTAGAGAGAGGATCCAAATCAGTGTGATCCCTGATACATCAAAGGACCAAGAAAAGAACTTTTATCTCATTTAACTCCATGTGGCCCAGAGGGCTGGTTAAATTTCTAGCATTTGTTGACAAGGCTAGACTATAGGAATATCATTGTTTTATCTTTATTATCATGGACTATAGGGATTGGAAATATTCCTAAACTGGTCACAAGATGCAATAGAGATATATGAAGCACTCAAAACAATTTAAAAGAAGGGGACTACTACATCCCACACAATCTGAAGATTTAGTATCATAAATGAATATTCCTCAACCTGTTCAAAACTGAACTAATTAACTTTTCTCTCCAAACCCTCCACTCTTCCTAACTTCCATATCATTGTCAAGACTATCACCATCCTCCCAGTCATCCATGCTTACAACCTAGGAGTCATCTTCACTCTCTCTGACCTTCCATATCCAATCAATTGCCAAGCCCTACCAAATCTATCTTCCCAATATCTCTTGTAATACATCTCATTTTCTCCTCTAACACTGTCACCACCCTGATGCAGGTCTTCATCACCTTACACTTGGACTATTGCTAGAGACTGCTAGTAGGTCTCCCTGACTTAAGACTCTCCCCAATCCAGTCTATCCTCCACCCAGTTGTCAAAGTGATCTACCTAAAGCATAGGTCTGACCATTTCATCTCCCAAATAATAAACTTCAGTGGCTTTGTATCAACCCCATTCTATTTAGTTTTTAAAGCTTTCATAACCTGGCCCCATCCTACCTTTCCAGTCTTCTTACACCTTACAACCCTCCACAGACTCTATGATCCAGTGACACTGGCCTTTTGTCTATTTTTTGAACAAAGATACTCCATCTCTCGGCTTCAGGAATCCTGGCTTCTTCCTTCAGGTCTCAACTAATGTCTCAACTTCTGCAAAAAGCTTTTCCCAATCCAACTTAATCACAGGGCCGTCCCCCTGACATTATCTCCAATTTAACCAAAATATATCTTGTCTTGTACATAGATGTCTGCATGTTGTCTCCTCTATTATACTACGAGTAGGGATTGGTTTTTGACTTTCTTTGTATTCCTAGGGCTTAGGGCAGTGCCTGGCACATGACAGACATTTATTTATAAAGCCTGTTGACTTACTAAGTGCTTGTTGACTTGGCAATGATTCCTATTACACCAGAAGTATTACTCTGAATTGCCCATATATTGTTTATTCATCCCTACTGTGCATAAAAACATTGTTCAGCACTATTTTTTTTCTGAGTTAAATATAGTTATCAATATAACTATCTGCTGGAGTTTAAGTGTTTCAGTTAAGTGCTGCAGAGTTTGGAGGGGAAGAAGGAGGTGCATCCAGAAGTACCAATGGCAAAGCATGAAACTCTCAAGAAGAATAAATTGAACCTTGAACATTAAACTTCATGAGTTCAGAAAATTCTCATCCATTCCTTTGGTGAGAAAAGGTGAAAGTAATAAAAATATGACTGAATGTGAAAATAAACATTTAATCTTTTTTTAATTATATATTTTAAATACTCATTCATTCAATACTTATTCATTTGTACTTGCATAAAAATACTTTCTCAAGAGAGATTACAATGTTAACTTGTTTGGCTGAGTATTAAACATAAGCAGGTGCTTATTAAATAGTAAATCACATTTATATATTGTTAAGGTTTATAAAGCCTTTCCCCAGAAGAGCCCTCTGAGTTAAATAATGCAAGTATTATTTCAATTTTACAGACTAGGAGGCTGGTCTTAAGAAGTTAGGTGAGTGACACTTGGTCCAGCTGTATTAACAAGATCCATACCCAGGTCTTCTGACTCTCAGTTCTCCTATTACACCATGCTTCCTCCTTGAATATCCCTTTCTCCGAAGAGGCGACTGTTCTATGATTATTTGGAGATCCAACAAATATTCTTTCATATGGCAAAAGATATTCAATATTGTGAAATAATGTAATTCATTTCAACAAGAATTTAAGTGTAACCCTACCTTAAGGCGCTTACATTTACAGGAGGAATCAAAATAATAACTAGCATTGATACAGTGCTTTAAGGTTTGCGAATCGCTTTACAAATATTAATTCTTTAGATCCTCATAACAACACTGTGAGATAAATGCTGTTAACTCTATTTTACAGATGAGAAAACTGAGGCTGAGAAACTGTATTTCAGGACTATACCTTGGCTTGTAGTGTATGGAATAACAAGCGCATTTTCGAGCATCCTCTAATTATCCCTCACTTGACAAACCCCACTCCACCCACATCTTCCCTCCCGCCCCGCCCCCTAGCATCTGGAGTTCAGATATGCTGCTGTCACCAACATGCAAAGACGCTGACAGCTCAGTGGGGACCACAATTCCTTCGGATGACGATTGGAAAGGAAAGTTTTGACCCAAGGAGATCAGACTTCCACGTCGCCACACAGGTGAAAGAGCCCGCGCGAGCTCGGCTCTGGCAGCCCGCGGAGGGCTCACCCGGCTTCCCCATTCAGCTTCTCTTTTTATGCCGCCCACGCACTCACCAATTTCTCCCAAGGAGCCGTCCGCATTCCGCAGCTCCATCTTGTTCACCGGGTGTCCTACCTTGACAGCTTTCCCTTCCAGGCAGCCCGGCACCTGAGCAGGATGGGAGGGGGACGCGCGGAGGACGGCGCCGGGGACGCGCGCCGGCAATGCGGTGGGGCCGATCGCGTGCCTATAGCCCAGCTCTGAGGCGGGGGGGAGGGGGCATCTCGGGGAAAGGTCACTCCCTGTGCCCGCTGGGATTTGTAGTTTTCCCACGCTGGACGTGCTCCCTTCCATTTTAACTCTAGTTTGGTAGAAGCTGCAAACCTGAATGAGCCACTGCCTCCTAGTGGTTGGGTCTGAATGTCGAATTTTGGTGTTTTGCTGGTTGAAATAAAAAAAGGGACTATCAGAGAATGTGTATCTATAACTGTCATCCATTAATGCATAATTTGGCTAAGAAAGGTTGGGGCGGGGTTTGCATTGAAGGAAAAATGCGAACATTTTATTTATGTAATATATATTTAAATATATATATATATATATATACACACACATATTTATATTTAAATTTTTATAGCATTTTGAAAGCTCCTGAAATTTTTAGTGAAGGAGGAAGTTGACTTCTTTAATATAGTACTCAATTTATTTATTACTTACATTGCAATGAGTTGCTGTAAATTATCCCAGTTTCTTAGACCTCTCCTCACAAAGGAAATAATAGTTCGAGGCACTGCATTTTAGAAGGAACATTAACAAACTAGAATTCATTAGCAAAATAACCATGGTCCTGTGTAAAGATCTGTTCTTATCTCACAGACATAGGAGGCTACCCAGTTTTAATACCTGCCCTATGAGGAAAAGTTTAAAGAACTGGATTTAGCCCTAAGAAGAAAAGGCTTAGAGGAGATACAACAGCTGTCTTCAAATATTTGAAGGGCTGTCAATGGAGATGTTTTATTTACTCTATGGGGCTCCAGAGGGCATTACTAACTAAATTCATGAGTAAGTTCAATTTAAGTAAAAACTTCCTAAGAGTTAAAGTTGTCTGAAAAATGAATGAAAAATTTAAAAATGCTTTGAGAAGCAGTTCTCCAAATGATAGATTGGTAAATTAGATGATCGTGTCAGGGATATTGGAGAGCAAATTCATGTTCTTTCATTCATTCATTTAACAGGCAATTATTAGGCACACACAGGAAAAACAAAAAGCCAAAAACAAGCTGTCTGGGTTCTCAAGGAGCTTACATTCTACTGGGGAGAAAACACATACATTTTTTTTTTACTTGACCCTTGAATTCCTAAGTATAGGGAACTTCTGATTAGGAATTTCCTATACCCTCTACTAATGCTAAGCAGGTGCTGCTCTTGTTTGGGATCACATGTTGGAGGTGAGACTTAGACTCTAGTTTTCCTGACCCCTGGGGCAGCTTGCTCTATCTACTACTACTCTGCTTCTTAAATAATACATACATATATCTACATACACATGTGTGTAGATGTATATATGTGTGTCACATATGTATATATGTATATGTGCATGTACATATATGTGTGTGTATTTACAAGGTAGTTCCAAAGTAATTTGGAGGTATATGGAAGGGGATGTTGGGCATTAGCAAATGGAGAAAACTGGAAATTCGTAGACCAAGGGCCAGACTAGATGACTTGCTTTCATGGTCATAGATACTATTTCTAATCCATTTAACATTTTGAAAGGAAATGCTTTGTAAACCTTAAGACACTATATTAGAGATGGAGAGTTTTAAAATGCATTATCTTACCAACATTTCTAGCAGCTTAACAAGGATGCTTTGTTTCTAAATTAGTCCATACAGGAAAACAAAAGTATCATGTAAATAAGCCTTTGAGAGAAATAGCTGGCAATGCCCAAAAGGTTTAACTTCAGAAAAACTTACAAGATAAGTGCCACCTTATATTTGGACCCCTTATCCATTTAGATTTATACAGAACCATTTTCATGTATACACACTGTGCTAGTTATTGGTGACAGAGAGGCAAAAATAGGTAGTCTTTGCCCTCAAGCAGCTTATATTCTTTTAAGGGAAAAAATTCCAAACAGAAATACTTTTTTTTTTTTTACATCTGACCTGTGACTTCATCAGTATAGGGAGCTCCTGATGAGGAACTTTTACCAATACTGGCTAGCACTTGCTCTACAATTTAAATTTGGAAAAAGTTGCCATTTGAGCTTAATATTAAATCTAAAATTTAACCAATCTACAAAGAAGATGAGGAGGGTAGTAATATAGCCATCTGATGAACATAACAATGAAATCAGAAGCAGTATAGTACCCATTTTTATCTTATAGACATAGGAGACTGACCAGTATTAATTGATCTCATCAAAAGAATTGTTTGTAGAAAATAGTACGGCAGAAACTAGACATAAACCAACATCTTACACCCTATACCAAGATAAAGTCAAAATGGGTGCATGATTTAGATGTAAAGACTGATACTATAAGCAAACTAGGAGAGCAAAGAATAGTTTACCTATCAGATCTATGGAAAAGGAAAGAATTTATGACCAAACAAGAGAGAGAACATTATGAAATGCAAAATGGATGACTTTAATTACATTAAATTGAAAAGTTTTTGCACAAAGTCAGTGCAACCAAGATTAGAAGGGAAGCAGAAAGCTAAGAAACAATTTTTACAGCCAGTATCTCTGATAAAGACCTCATTTCTAAAATATATAGAGAACTAAATCAAATTTATAAGAATACAAGTCATTCTCCAATTGATAAATGGTCAAAGGATATGAACAGGCAGTTTTTAGATGAAGAAATTAAAACTATCTATAGTCATATGAAAAAATGCTCTAAATCACTATTGATCAGAGAAATATGCAAATCAAAACAACTCTGAGGTACCACATCACACCTATCAGATTGGCCAACATGACAAAACAGGTAAATGATAAATGTTGGAGAAGATGTGGGAAAATTGGAACATTAATGCATTGTTGGTGGAGTTGTGAACTGATCCTACCATTCTGGAGAGCAATTTGGAACTATGTCCAAAGGGCTATAAAATTGTGCATACCCTTTGACCCAGCAATACTACTTCTAGGTCTGTATCCCAAAGAGATCATAAAAATGGGAAAAGGACCCACATGGACAAAAATATTTATAGCAGCTCTTTCTGTGGTGTCAAAGAATTAGAAATTGAGGGGATGCAAATCAATTGGGGAATGGCTGAACAAGTTGTGGTATATGAATGTAATGGAATACTATTGTGCTATAAGAAATGATGAACAGGCTGACTTCAGAAAAACCTGGAAAGACTTGTATGGACTGATGCTGAGTGAAGTGAGCAGAACCAGGAGAACATTGTACATAGTAACAGCCATGTTGTGCGATGACTGACTTTGATAGACTTAGCTCTTCTCAGCAATGCAATGATCCAAGACAACTCCAAAAAACTCACAATGGAAAATGCTATCCATATCCAAAGAAAGAATTATGGAGTTTGAATGCAGATTGAAGCATACTATTTGCTATTTTTTTTCTTCTGTTGTGTTTTGTTTCCTCTTCCTGGTGGTTCCTCCTATTGGTTCTCATTCTTACTTACAACATGACCAATGTGAAAATAAAACAAAACAAACAAAAAAAAAAAAGAAATGATGAGCAGGCAGACTTCAGAAAAACATGGAAAGACTTATATGAACTGATGCTGAGTGAAGTGAGCAGAAACAGGAGAACATTATGCACCGTAACAGCCACATTGTGCAATGACTGACTTTGATAGATATAGCTCTTCTCAGCAATGCAAGGATCCAACACAATTCCAAAAGACTCATGACAGAAAATACTATCCACATCCAGAGAAAGAACTATGGAGTCTGAATGTGAATTTAAGCATACAATCTGCTCTCCTTTTCTTTTGTTGTTTTGTTTCTCCTTTCCCATGGTTCCTCCCATTAGTTCTAATTCTTTACATCATGACTAATGTGAAAATATGCTTAATATGAATGTATAAGTAGAACCTCTATCAGATTACATACTGTCTTGGGGAGGGGGGAGGAGAAGAATGAGGAGAAAATTTAAAACTCAAAATCTTATGGAAGTGAATGTTGAAAACTAAAAATAAATTGATTAATTATTAAAAGATTAAAAATTTTTTTAAATTTTAAAAGAATCATTTGTAGTATAAATTAGTCAGTTTATCTCTTTTCCCTTGAGTGGAGTATCTAATATGAGAATTGTTTTAGTCCACATTATTTTCCCCTTTTTCTTCTCCTTTTTATTTGGAATTAATTTTGTTCTTCCTCTTATTGTACAAAAGTGTACTTAAAGCACAGAAAAAGTTTTGAAAGTTGGATTATTTATTGCTAGAGATATGGGGCAGAGAAGATCAGCTGTGATGTTGATCCATTAATATATATGGTGTCTTATTAACACACGATGAACATATGGCCAACTCCCCAGATTTACTGGTAGAGCTGGGAGAAAAGGAATTCTGGAACATGTGGCAAATAGATCTTCCCATGAGGGTTGAGTAGCCTTCCCCCATCCTAGCAACATGGTGGTTGTGAGCATATATAATAACTAAGGTATGTGTTTAGCTTAGGCAAACCTCAGCTTGGGGGCCTGTGACTGCTTCTGTTTTGTGTTCCTTCCCTGAACATTGGTGTTGAAACAGTGATCCAGAGATGGACATAACTATCATGAGTTCAAGAAATCTAGAGCTCGTGGATCCCTTAGTTGGAACTGACCAGCAGCAGGAGGAGAGTCATTCAACTATGCACTTCCTCAAGAAGATGATCATGGACAGGAGGAGAAGCCATGAGTCCTGGCTCTACTTGTCAGAAGACAGACTATTTCAGAGTTCAGAAACAATTCAGAATGGAAGTGAAATGTGAAATGCTGTTTCAGCAGTACCCCCAAATTCCTCCATATTTTACTGTAAGTTCCAACCTAATAGTAGTTTATGAGTTATTACTGCTTGTTTTAAACTTTGTAAATGTGTGCTCTTGAATCTCTTGTATTAAGCATTTTTTTGTGTGTGAAGGAAATAACTTTACTATACCTGAATCATATCATAATACTTTTCTGCTCTTTCCTCCTTAGGGAGAACTTGTACATGAGTCAAACTTTACGTTTTAAGTACTCTCCTCAGGGTTC